TTTATTCAAAAACAAAAAATTAGGAGCAGTTACCAAATAAGGATTGCCTTCAAGATAGACAAGCATATATTAACCTCTCAACGTTTGATGGATCAACTAATACGATTGGAAATAATTTTTTTTCAATTGAGCCAATAAACCTTTTGAAAATAAAAATCATTATCATTGAACAAAGTAGGTGGAGATTTTTGAGGTTGTGGAAGCGGTGGAGGTAATGGAGGAGGCGGTGGTTTACCTTTATTAACAACTTCCACAATTGGATAAATGAGAGTGAATGATGTAGTAAACAAATAACCTATCATCAAAAAGTGACAATTCGAAAAAGGTTATAGATAAAAAGTAACAGGAATCCGTAGTAAAGGAAGAAAAAACATGTTGACAATGGTAGCTAGGGTTTATGCAGAAGCGAGTCTCAAGAATCGAGAGTTGAGCTCTGTGATACCATGTTGATGGGTTGAAAGATTCAATTACACCAAAAAAAATTATGTGTGAGGACAAAGAACAATGATAACTAAAATAAATGGCCTTCAGCAAAAATAACTCTCTATGATGAGACAACAACTTAACTTCGCAGAAGAAAATAAAAGATAAGAAACACAATAACTTATTTATGCAATTCGATCAAAAAATCTACTATGGGGGATACATCAACTATCTAATTCATTATACTTCTAAAAGTTTTTACAAAATAATACAAATGAGTTACAAAAAATAAATAGTCACCTAAGTTCATAAGAACAAACCATATTTTCTACCCCCAAGTGTTTCTCAATATCTCAAACTCTATGTATATGAATCACACAAGTCCAAGGTGTTTAGAAGTATTTTATAATTCCCCTTTACTTTATCAAATTCCAAGAACACACTTTTAGAAATTTATCATGTACTCTTTAAGATTACCACTAGGATTTCCAAACTCTTCTCTCTGTCTATAGCTCTAAAGTTTTGAAGGTATTGAAGACAAGAATAATTGAGATACATATTTATAATTGTTGAATCTTAACTGATACTTAACAGGCCTAAAGCATAACCCGTTAACAAATTGATTCACAAAGCGAAACAACCAAACCCAATACATGAAAACTTCCTAGACCAGATATGACACCTGACAGACCTGGATAGCCCATTGAAACCGACCATACTTTTGGCAAATCTGTCGACCACCTTCGCTCGATGGTGACTAGACTTGTCAATGGCCCTACCGCACCAACTCTATCGCCCCGTCGACCCTTCCACTTGCCTCTGTCAACTTCTAGGCTGATTTTTGGTTTCTTCAATCTCTAAACATGCTTCCTTTCTCTTCATAACTTAAGGTTTAAGGAATACTTTGAAAATGTATACCTTGACTTGAAATTGCGGGGTTGTCAATTTACCCACCAACCACCTTGTTTCTCTCTGCCAGTTCTGTTAGAACACAGATTGGTTTTTAGTTATATCTCTATGTTTTGATGATAACACTGATGAAATTTTGTATTAAGAAATTATATACTCTAAATTTGTTCAAGTATTTTTGTTGCAGATATTAAATTTAATATTCTTTTGAAAGCGAAAATTGAATCTGAACATTGAACTACGCAAGACTCTGAGTGTCAGAAGCATCTCGTTAGAAGACTCTGAGCGCTGCCTACAGAAGACTCTGAAGCAGAAGCTACAGAAGCATCTGAAGCGTAGCTGAAGACTTTGTATGAAGAGTTTCAAGCATTGTTTTTCAGAAGACTCTGATAGTACTGATCTCTGCAAGTACTGAGGATCTGATCTCCAAACTCTGCTTTGATTGTTACTCACACTGAAGCACACTTGCTGCAACACTCTGATACAACAAACTCTGATAACATCAAGACTCTGATCACTCAAGGCTCTGATGTTGATTGCTATGAGATAGAAGCTTGTTGAAGAAAATTATTCAAAGATATATTCGTTGGCATATTCCTAAACGACTCTTTCCTCTTTTATGCTAGACACAAGAACTCAGACAAAAAGGATTTCTCTGAATGTTCTACTTCTAGGAAAGGTCAAGTCATGTGAAGACAAAAGGCTACAACTACTTTGCAGTACACGGTCTTCAAGCTTGCAACGTCTTGGATGTCTTTGTCTATAAAAGCAAACCTTCAACAACTTTCTACAGTTGACGAATATTGACGAATCTATTGATAACTCTACCAAAGCTCTCATATAAATTATACTTCTTTGTTGAATAGTTTCATTCGTTCTTAATCTTAAGTGTATAAATCACAATTGTGATATAGCTTTCATAGAAGCATTTTAAACACTTGTTTAGTTTACATTTGATTGTAAAAGTTCCTTAAGAAGACCAAGTTGTGGTCAGTAGTTCTTGAGAAGACTAAGACAATTGTTCTTAGTGGTTGACATTGTAATCTGTTTGATTATAGTGGATTAAGTCCTTGTGGAGAAAGACAAATCACTCTTGATAGGGTGGACTGGATTAGTTGAGTTCAACGAACCAGGATAAAAATCATTGTGTTTTTATTGCCATATTTATTTGAAAACCCTTATTCAACCCCCCTTCTAAGTATTTTCTCACCTTCAAATTCAACATTTATTGATCAATTTTCTATCATGTTCAACGCCTCACTTGAACCTTGACATTTCCCCTTGCATCCACTTGCTCCCAACCACCTTTTTCTACTTCAGTAGTCTAACAAGCTCATTAGTATGATTCTTCAATGATCTTTGACTCCACCTGTTTTTGAATGCCTCCTTGAAGGTTCTTGCTTTTTAGTTTTGCAATCCTTCATCCATTCAAAGCATAAAACCCAAGACCTACATTATCGTCCCTTTGAGAGGGTATAATTTATATCTTCACCTTATCACGAGTCAAACGATAATAAAATACTTTTATAATTGTTCTTTCATTACTACTAGTATCTATAATAGGAACTGCCACCTTAAACTGAGTCTTTTCCACCTTAGTTTACAAAATGGTTCATCCTCATGTCTTTCTCTGCTTCCCCTAATGGGACTTGCTAAAAGTAATACATATGCGATTGCTGAACTTTTATCCTCCATGTTCCATTTCCAACAACTCTCAACCTTTCCTACCTCTTGAATAACCATTGAAGACATAATCCATAAATTTACCATTAAAACTTAAGAAAAAAAATTGACGACCCTTAAAACAAAGTAGGTTACAATCTTCCTATCTAAACCTTTATAAGTGTTTGAAAGTTTATTCTTGTAAATGAATACATGTCGATCAAGTAAGATGCTTTGGCATCATCCTTACCCTGGAAACTCTATGACAATTGACTGTTTAAATGTATTTTTATCCCTGTCTTATGCAAAGCTAATTAAAGTTCTCTAAAATAACCTTCAGGCATCCACCATGACTTAATCTCAAATACCATAGCTTGTTCTTTTCATGAAAGTCTTCACTAGCGGATGATGAATGAACAACAATATTAAAACCTTCTAAAATATATAAGACACATATTTTAGACCCTTTAGCTATGATCACTTCGACATGTAAAATCTTCAATACCCCATGTTCAACTCTAGCTCAATAGTCTAAAATATTAAACATGCTTATGGATAACAAACTTTTCATGGGCTTTGAAGCATACCTCACGTTGTGAATAAGAAACTCACGATCATCAAACAATTTTAGTCTGACCATACCAATTTCATGAACCATGCAAGTCATATTGTCACAAAGGTGACCAACTCAACCTTCCTCCAACTTCAAAGTCTCAAAGTATTTTTTTTGGACACATATAATAAGAGCAATTTGGGCCCTTGATTCAACCATATTTAGTCTCCAAACTCGACACCATTAATGTACCAACACTTTCATAATAATCCTCATTGGAGGAAACAACAATCTGAACAAAATATTCATTATCCTCCCTCTCGGCATATTGTCAATCTTTAGATATTTCATATTTAAATATTTTTTGAATCTCACAGACGTATGGACTTCATCCAAAGAAATAGTACATTCCTTACCATATAGAAGGACATCCTTAAAGTGCTCAAAGGATATGTATAATAATCTCAACAAGAGTAGTGTCTTGTCCTCGTCTTCAATCTTCCTTCAATACTCAAAAAATCATAAATGATTTTGTACTACTCCACTATAGATTTGTTCTCTACCATTCGAAATGAGTAAAGTTAATGTTTCAGACACAAGTGAGTCAAAGACTTAGTCATATACAATGATTCATGTTTTTCCCGCATCTTCCTTTATACACCATCTCGGTCTTCTCTGCTTGTGTCAGATGTAAATACATTGATGTTTCGCCCGACAAAATCGATCTAACTATAATTGTTGTTGACCTGTCGTCTGTCCCGTCACACCAGCCCTACCGAACCCCATATATTAGAGAGATGTATGTGGATAATTTTTGGTTATCCATGTTTGGGTTTTGGTTTAGTCCTTCAAGAATTGTAATTTTATTTTATTTTTGCTTATTAGTAACACTTCTAGAGTGTTGTATGATATATACCAACTTTAAAGTATAACATAGTTGAAATACCACACTTGTCATCTATTACATTACACTCTAATTTTACTTAAAATAACTTGTTCTTTAATTAAGAGTCCTTATTTATCTCCATTTTTTACTTTTTTACATTATATTCATGTGATTATGTTTTTTATTTTCTCCCTTTTCTTCCCAACCAAAACTTCATCAATGTAACTAAATTATGAAACTTTATACACATTTCGAGTGAAGAAAGATTAAACATGAGTGAAATCATTGATGTACTACTTTTCACATGTATTATGCAACCATATATGTAAAATAGAGAAATAAACCATATGAATAACAGTTCAATAGTACTTTACATAGGCAATCTGGTTTCATTATAATAATATTCCATATATCTAGTTACACCAGTATATGTTGATTTAGAAGAAATTGAACAAAAAAGATGCCTAGAAAAGTCCAAACAAAGAAGCACTCTTAGTTCCAGTTAGTCATTATATGGTTAAGCTGTGTCTTCAATATTTTTTCTAGCAGCATCTAGTGCATTCTAAATCAGTTATCCGCAATAAGACTTCTTCTGTCATTTCCAGCACAACCCATCATTCGGTTCATTCTATTCTTTTGTAAATTCTTAACATTGAGTAGATTTTTCTTCATTGCCTCAAGCTTCTTTCTCTTATGATGTCCTTTTTTCTTCGATGTTGTCTCTTTAACAACCTGAACAAAACCGATTTATAAAGTGAAGTGTCTCATTTTTTTTATATTAGTAGAAAATCAATCAAATGAATTGAAAACATTTACTTACCTCGTTCGGGTTGCTTACGTTCTCCGATTCAGATGCCTCCTCGCTTTCGTCGCTGTCAGTACTTTGTGACTTGTTGTGCACGACAGTGTTTTCATCCACTTTCTCTAGTATTTGCTCGTTGCCAGCATTTGTGTCATTTAATTCTTGTTCTTTTTTCTCATCGCTCTCAACGCAATATATTTTAAAACTCGGCGATCCAGGACCTATACGTCTTCCAATATCATCCTTGTCTTCGTCTTCGTCTTCGTCTTCCTCTTCCTCTTCCCTTTCTTCATCCTCCATGTCATGTTTTTCATGTATATTTTCTTGCACAGATAATTCACTCTTTACCTTGGCATTTTTCGTTTCAACATCTTTATCTATTTTTCCATCATGATCTTTTTGTTCTTTCTGCTCCTCATCCTCCTTCTCCTTCTTCTCTCCGCATCCAGAAACCGGCAATGGAACAACTTGAGAGAGTTTTTCAACCGCCACTGCACGTACTACCGTTGGCTGTTCTTTTTTCAGTTGAGTTTCTTTGGAAACTTCATTTTGATCAGAAGACTGTTCATGAGAGGTTCCATCATTGTCCTTCAAAAGCTGTTTCTTCGAAAGCTCAGTGTCTTCTTCTTGCACATTACTTCTACGTTTTTTAAACTCTTCAATTTTTTGTCCGAGAAGAGGACGAATCTTTGCCGGCAATACATCTCCGCCATTAGAATTAATCAACTTGGAATTGTTGCCTCCCATTATTAAGGAATGATCAAGAGACAATGAGTGATTACAAGAAAAATAATAATATGAAGGAGTTATGAGAATGTGAAAGATGGGGGATTATGAAGGAGTTTTGAGAATGTGGCAGTTGAAGATTAAGATGGTTAACTAGATACAGTCTGTGTTAACAGATGTTGACGTTCAATTATAGAACAAACACAAAAACAAAACAAAAAAACAGAAACAATAAACTGAAATATTGATCGATATAAACATTGTTTCTCTGTCTTGTTCTCATATTGTTGGAATTCGGAATGCAACAATTTTAGATAAGAAGGATTCAATACAACCTGTCTTGGACAAGCTATAGTCATTTTTGTCTAAATAAAGTGTAGGCACTTTAATGTATGAGTTTAATTAATATCATTTTTAGATAAATTAATTCTAAAAAAAAATTAAGTATAAATTAATTTTACAATTCATTTAACGAGAGATTTTTAATATTTCAGTTTAGGTCTTATTATAATTTTTAATTTTTTATAATAAATTATAATTTTTTATACTAAATTATAATTTTTTTAAATATAACTACAAAAGTGGAATTTTTTTTAAATAACTATTTTTTTCAAATAACTATTTTTTTCAAATTGAATATCAAATAAACTAATGTTTTAAATGTATTACGAAAGTAAAAGGAAAGAGGACTCGTCGTTGTGATTGACGAATGTATTCTCATTAACACATAGACGCCATTTCAAATGACTTATGCTTGTATGTGTCGCTATTGGAGATGATACATACATTCATGCATTAAGTGCATGCGCCATTTTAAATGACACATCCTTTATATTTTATTTTGTTTTTAATTTTAATAAAGAAATGGTGCATCCTTTATATTTTATTTTGTTTTTAATTTTAATAATTTTAATTAATTATAATGCATGCGTCAATCCAAATGGTGCATATGTATTATTTTTGAATGCATGCACCAATTCAAATGACACATATGTATAATTTTTCAATGCATGCGCCAATTCAAATGGTGCATGCTCTTTGGGATGTCTTGTAAGTGTAATATGTATGTGCCATTTTGATTGACACATTCTCTTCCTCTCCAAGTTAAACATGATTAATTTAATAATTAATTTGAAATGATGGATTTTTTCGTATATTATTTGAAAATAGTGGTTAGTTAAAAAAAATCACAAAAGTGGAATATTATAAAAAAAAATAAAAGTTATAGTATTATTAGTACAAATAAGATTTATGACCATGCATTAATAAAAATGAGATTTACCAAATTACAATCATAAATTAAATATTTTTTATTTAATACATTAAGGATTAAATATGTTTGTAGTTTTTTAAAGGTTTAATACCTTTTGGTCCTCTATCTTAATATTGGAGTTCATTTTGTTCTCTTAACTTTAAAAAAAATCATATTGACCCCTTAACTCTTCAAAATGTTACATATTAGTTTTTTTTGTCTTATTAGCAACGGAAAAAATTCAAAAATCAGTTGCTAAATCCGTCGCTTATTAGACAAAAAAGACTAATATGGAACATTTTGAAGAGTTAAGGGACCAATATGAATATTTTTAAAGGTAAGAGACTAAAATAAACTCTGAAGTTAAGATATATGACCAAAAAGGATATTAAGTCTTTACTAAATATTTTAATTAAAGTTTTTAATCTTTAAAAAAAAAATTTAAATAATTGTTCTCATAAAATTTTTCATCAATATTTTTGTTCTAGACTGGAGTGACACATGGCCTATAGTTGGGCAAGGCCCAATCCAGTCCAGTTTTAGGCAAGACCCAATAAGGAGATTAAGACAATATGACCGTTGGGCACAATATAACCGTTGGAGAATATAGTCGTTGGGGACATCCACTACAAGAAAAATTCCATTTTGCCTAGTGATTTAGTGACGTGCTAATCACGTGGGAAAAAAAACACGTTGCCAAGTGATTCTCACCTCACTAAACTATTTAAATAATAAATTATTCAGACCTAAAATCTTCAACCAAAAATTGGAATTTTAAGAGAGAGGGAAGTTTGAAATTTTAAAAAATTCAGTTGTGGAAGCCCAGGCGAGATCAAAATTCCACAACAGCCCACACAAGTCTTCATCATCATCCAAAAGCAAGAGAAGCAAAACCCTAATCTAGGGGAACTAATGAAGTCATTCTAGTTGAGTTAGCAAGTTAGGATCACCTAAAACCTAGTATTAAAGTTAATTCTAACTAAAATACTAAAATCAATTATAAAATCCTACAAAAATAACTATGGGAACCTATGTCAATCATGACTCTACCATGTTAATTCCAGAGATCAAATCCTCAAATAAGACCTAGAAATAAACTCTAAACTACAAGGTACTAAACTTAACCCTAAAAGGGAGCACCTAAGGTTTCAACCTAAAAACAGAACCTAGTTTCATCACAAAAATGTGAGAAAAATACTATGGGAGCATACATGTCTAAACTAATCACAAACCAAAAATCAAGCAAAAACTCCATACCAAGTGCTCAAACAAAATTCACCAAACAGATGAATCAATTAATACAATTTCATTGTCAAATAAAATGGGAAAAAATCAAATAAAACGAAAATAAATGCTAATCCTAATCTTTTTGTTTCTAAAATTCCTAAATTCATTCATGAATCAGGGGAAAAAATCTCAGAATTAATTGATTAATTTTTCTATTTTTAATGGATTAAAATCAAACCATTATGAAATGATGAAAATAAAAGAAATTCAAAGAAATTGGTGAAACATGCGTTGCAAATAGCAATCTATCTCAGTTCAATATGTGGGTTGGGCCAGATGGGGGATGCAAGTATCATTCAGAGTCTTAAGCCCAATGCTTCCAATTAATGAAACAGAGCGTTTCAATCTTAAGTCAAAGTCTGAGTTCAAGAATAGATCGTGGCCGTGCAATGCTCCTACTTGGTCAAGGTCCAACATCCATCCAACGCTTGCAGTGCATCGTCCCATTTGAAACTCAGGTTGGAGGGAGTTTACAGACGGTGGCCTGAGCAGTGGCGCCACCGTCTTCTCCGGTGAAGTTCTTTACACAGGTCATCAAACATTACATAATTATACATCAATCAACTCAGTTTTTCACCCTGATCAATAATCTCCATTCAAAATCATCTAACTCTCTCTCAAATTCAAAACACAATAACATCTTCAGAAAGTGTCAAAATCTTGATCATGACCATTCTTCAAATTAAAAGCACCAATATGATCCCCATCTTATGGTGGTCAATCCTCACTATCTAATCTTGATTATCCATCCAAGAACTGCTAGATTTCAGCCTCAACAGAAAATGATCCACATCCTAGTTTGTCTCTATTCTACGATTTCTTGTTCTAGAATCCAACTACACATTGCAAGGATCCTAACCACCTATTGATTTCTATCTATCTCCTCCTAAATGATGCACAAGGATGAAAGTTACCAACCTGAGTTCAGAGGTGTAACTGAAGTACTTCTTGCTTGATTCAACCTTCAAGATGATGTAGATTCACTCTAAATCACCTTCTGAAGCTAATGCCACCCTCAATTTGCCTTGATTCCTCCTTGAACTCAGAACATGATCTCCACTTGCAACTCTGAATTTTCAATTGCTCTTTCTGCTACCAGCTTCAAACTCCTCCAAAAAAATGGCTGAACACACTCAGTGGTTTATGTAGAACTTGATGGAATCATCCAGAAGTTTCTCAAAGCTTCAGAATGAGATTTTGGAATTTCAAATTCTCACCAAAATCTCATTCATGGCAGTCACCATTTCCTCTCTGTTTTGGCCTCAGCTAGCTTGCATTCAACTTCTCATGAGATATTGAACATGACTGGTGGTGATTCTCCCCTTGTTTCAATCCAATGGCTCATGTATGTTATGTTACTTCATCATGAAGCAATGAGATAAAATTCCATGAAATTGAACTCAAATCAAAAATCTAATATTTCCAATGTTTCCAAAATGCATTTTCCATTCAAAAAATGCTATTATTTTGCCTCATTTGCACACATATAATTTATTTTGAATTTTTGGTCTTTAATTCTCTTTAATTCTTCATTTTTCACAATTTCATGAATCAAGTCTCTCCTTGAGCCATTTCAATGCCTCTTTGATACATGGTCAAGGTTAAAACCCAATTTTGAGCAACTTTCAAGTTGAACAAAATTTCATTTGAGATGTCTAAGTTGGTGAAAATGACCCATAACCAAAAATGACCCATAATCACAACTTCCCAAAATGCCCTTGACTTGTCAAAGCCATAACTTAAGTTCTACAAATCCTATCAAGGACTTATAGTACTCTCTATAAATCTAAGAGGGTAAGGAACAACATTCATGTTGACCAAAAGTTCATAGGAATCACCCTTCTTGGGCAAAAGTGTCATGCAAGTTGGGTAACTTTCAAGCTCCAAATTCACATGCCTCAGATGACTTGTAACTTGTCTGGCTCATAACTTGAGTTCTATAAACCCTATCAAGGACTTCTAGTACTCAAATTAAATACAAGATCATGCCCTACAATAATCATGTTAGGGTCAAGATGAGATGACAATCATATCTTGAGCTACATTGCCTTGAAGACAGGGGTCAAACTAGGGGATTTTACATTGTCAAGTCTTAGAAACCCTAGCCTGAAACTTATCAAACTCTTCAATCATGATGAGTTGACCTTGGAATCATCATTAGAACATCTCAATGTATCAATCCATGATCACATGGCTCTTGAATTAAGTCTCAACTTCCTTCAAATCATCAGTTGACTTAGGGTTGACCCAGTCAAACCCTAGCTGCACCACTCATGGCTGAGCCTTCTTAATCTTGCACAATGACCTGTCTAGGCCTCAAAGTTCTCTCATGAGTTCCCTCAAGACCTCAAGTCCATCTTCATGGCCTCATAATCATCTGATGGTCTTCCCCATAACTCTCAAGTTAGGAGACCCACATACTTGGTTTCAACCACTCTCTCTGAGGATCCTTTAACTTCTCTGACAAGGATATCAACCCTTG